TGCTGCATCTCACATCGGCATGGGCCTGACTGAGCGGAGGGGACATGGGCAGGCTGGGGTGGACTCTGCCCTGTAGGGAGTGCGGTAGACCTGCGTAGGCAAACTTAGCTTTGGACACTTAACCTTCCCACTCTCGGACTCAGCAACCTCCCGAGAGACTGGACACACTCACAAGCATGACTTAGCGAAGCCTCAGAGGTGGCCACAGTGACTGCTCTGGGCAGCCCTGACTCGCTTTTACCAGGGAAGGCACGGTTCGAACGTGCAGGTGCAGGCCTTAGGGAGCCTGGCAGCTTCAGTGTTCATGCTTTGGAGGTCTGGAGCCACCGTGCCAGGGGCCACCCATCGTGCTGGGAAGGGAAAGGCCCTGCACCCCAGCATCCCTCCTGAGACCCTGCCCAGCTGGTAGCCGACTGCATAGGAGCCTCTCAGTGAGAGCAAAGAACAGGCCAGTTGAGACCCGTCAAGCCACAGAAGCAAGAGAAATCATTTAAATGGCTGGTTCCTGTTGATCCTTCTAGTTGACTTTATTCACAACAGAGAACACATGTGCAGGAGGGAGAAGGTTGGGGCACCTTCCACAGGGTCTTACCTCCTATGATCCCGGTCCCCCAGCCCACGGCCCCTCAGGACCTAGGGTGCCTGCACATGTGCCCAGCATGTCCCAGGTCAAAGGGGATCCGATCCAAGGCTGGTCGTGTGGCTTCCAGCACTGCATCCTGCTCACCGCAGCCTGCACCGCCGAGGCTGGGCAAAGTGGTGGTTTCACTCCTCCAAGCTCTGGGTAACCAGGACCCCTCGGGAGCGCAAGGAGGTGCCCCCACTGCTGAAGCACTGGAGCGCCATGAGGTGAGTGAGCTAGGGAGCCACAGACCCTGCTCAGCTGCCAGGGCGAGTGAGCAGCAACGACACGCCCACCATGGGCCATTGGAGACGCCGTGTGGGTGCCATGCTGCCTCACGTATGGGCAGTATCCCCAGACGGTAAGCCCACAGCAGACGGCAGCTGCCGGCGGGGGCAGGCGGGGACTGCTTAATGGGTATGAGCCCTCTTTGGGGGTGACAGAAAGGTTTTGGAAGCAGATGGAGGTGAGGAGGGCACAGCTCTGCAACTCTGTTAAGAGCCACTGAGGTGTACGCTCCCAGACGGAGAATTTACGCTCTGCCCGCTCAACGCTGATTAAAGAAATTTTAACGTAGAGTAGAAGAAGCAAGTTGCAGGCCAGCCAGGGCACAGCAGCCGCGCAATGCTCTGTAAGGCTGGCCCCACCTGGGAAGGCCCTGGGTTCAGGTCTCAAGGCCTCCCGGTGCACGCAGGCGAGGGTGCGTGTCTGTGAACCTGGACGGCTGCGCGTCAGGGCGGATGTGGCAGAAGGACCTGCTGGGGCGCCCCTTCTCTCTCTCTCTCTCTCTCTCTCTCTCTCTCTCTCTCTCTCTCGGGAGAAACAAATACACCTAAAAAGAGAAAGAGCAAGCTGCAGAAGGAGGTGCATGGAATGATACCACGTATGTGAAAAGTATGCAAATAATGCGAGATAGATGTAGATGCTCACACAGACACAGAGAAAACATGAAAGCGTATACAGGAACGACGGAAGCCAGCCTCAAAGGGAGTCGCGTCTGGGGAAAGGAAGAGGGGAGTGAAACGTGAAGGAGGACGAGGGGGCCCCAGCCAAACCCAGTGCTGGTTTCCCACTTAAAAACCCAAACAAGGGTGACTGCAGCCTGGCGGAAGCGGGCTGCCCAGACAAGCTGGGTCACACTTGGTGACCACAGTTGATATGGGCAGTCAGCCTGAGACACGCTGGGCACACGAGCGCACCCAGAGGCTGACGCTGGAGGACTGGCGGGAGGGCACAGCACAAGACCCCGTAAGGGGCACTCCTCTCTCGCGCGGTTTCTCGCGCACGCACATTTACACACACACGGCCGTGAACACGCACAAGAAGTTTTCGAACAAGCATGTTTCACACATACCCTTCTGCGCTGAGTCTGTGTGATGGACATGAGAGTGGTTGTATTTTTCTCTGCATTTTTCTTTGTGCTGTAAATATTTCATCATTTAGCATAAAAACAACTAGAACCTACTCATCCTGTCCTGTCCCACTCCACCTTCCAAAATAGGAGGAAAAATAGAAGAGCTCAGTCTGCAACATCTTGGAGACGCCTCTGAGGGCACTTCCACGGCCCCCAGACCTCAGGCTCTTCTGGTGAGGGCAGTGCCCTGGGCCCGGGCTGGAGAAGTGGACTCGGAAAAGCTGGCCCCGAGATCCAGCTCGCCGGGGCTAGACACCGCCAGAAGGGACGCCGGGTGCCTGAGTCTTCACGCCACCCTGGGGAACCCCACTGGGACTGCCATTTTGGGGAGAAACCGTGGCACGGGAGGCTTCACCACAACTGGAAAGAGGCAGAGCTGGACGCCGCCCCTGGCAGGTGGGCTCCCACCCCAGCCGGGGCTCCCGACGCTGTCCTACCGAGTCTAAGCGATCACACCTGTTTGCCTGGGCTGCACCCACACGCCTAGGGCTGCCGTTTCCTTTCCCCAACATGTGCCACCCTCACCCTCACTGCCCGCGAGCCTCGCTTCTGCCAATGACCAGCACTCGCCTTAGGAGAGCCAGAGGAAGAGACAGTACGCGCTGACTCCCCATAGCCACGGGTCCCCAGGCTGGCTCCGAGGGCTCTGAAGTCGGTTCGGGGAGCACCCTTGCCACCTAGCTCAGGCAGCCCTCCCAGCTGAGAGGCGCTGATGCCCAGCGCCTTGGGCTGCCACCTAGCTCAGGCAGCCCTCCACCCTGATGCCCAGCGCCTTGCTCTCAGGTCCTTCACGCCCAAAAGGAGGGGTCTCAGACCATGCCCCTGAACCTGGGCAGAGGGTGGCCAAGCCTCCAGCTGCACCGTGAGCGCCTTCTGCTCCAGGCTCTGCCACAGGGGAGTGAAGCAAGCCCCAGGTCTGCACAGGACACAGCTTCTGGGGCTCACGGCTGCAGTGGGGTGCCAGGCAGCAGGAGGAGAAGCATGAGACGGGATCAGTAGGAGACAGGCCCTACACTCAGAGGAGGCCCTCGCATCTGCGCAGGCTCGGGGCCGGGGTTGGGAGTTCCAATAGCGCTGGGCTGCCGCCGTCCTCTGTGACTTGGAGAGTGTCCTCTGGCCTCAGCTGAGGGCCACGTTTCTACGTATCGCCTCCCCGAGCAACGGGCGGCCGGGGCCAGGCTCAATGAAGTGCGGCTGTGGAAGTTGCTGCCTCTGTCAGTGGTGGGCTCCCGCCTTCCTCCGACTCAGTGTTCACTCAGTGCATGGGTAGGTAGAGACCCCGGGCCCACAGGAGCTGCCCAGACCTGCTCTGAGGCCAAAAGCCCTTCCCTCTTCCTGGAACACCCTGGATGCCCAGAGAGACTGCTGTCCCTGCAGCCGTGTCCCCTCTGCTCTGACCCCCTGCAGAGGCATGCAGACAGCCCCTCCCCCCAAGCTGGCCGTGACCGAGCCCACTGGGTGGCCCTCAGCAAATGCCCACAGAGTCCTACAAAGAGAGATCCCTTCAGTGGGAGCATGGAGGCAAAACCCAGAGCTTACGCCAGCAGGAGGCGGCAGAGGCAGCATTTGAACTCGGGGCTGTGGAACACCAGAGTCCAAATCCCCCTCCTGGGGACAGAAAGAGTATGCAGTCCCCGTCACAGACAGAGGAGGGGCCAGGCTGCCCAGACTGCATCTGGACCGTGCCACTTACTCAGTGTGTGGCCAAGGGGCGTTTCCATCCCGTGCCTCAGTTTCCTCATTTGTAGAAGAAGGAAACAGCACCCACATCACAGGGCTCTGGGAGGACTGGCAGGTGCGTGTGGCCGCGCTGGCATGGGGACCGCTGACCCGCTGCCACCACCACTGTCACCGTCACGCTGCTGTGATTCCTGCCACACGCCCCTGCCCCTCCCATCAAACACACTTCGTGTGCGCTCAGTGAGACCCCGCTGGAGCAATGCGGCCCAGTTGTAAAAGCTTCTGGGAGTCCAACGCGTTGCAATTCCTCTGACAGATCTAGAAAACAAGCCGCTTACAGAAGGAGTCTTTTCTCCTCTATCACCTTTCACTCTTTCTATATTGCACAGACCACTTGAAGGAAACACAGGCAGTGGGCACCAGGAGCAAGGAGCCCGGTGGGCACCAGGAGCAAGGAGCCCGGTGGGCACCAGGAGCAAGGAGCCGGCGAATCGCTCCTTGGCTGTAAGTAGTCCGCAGCTGCCTGAGCAGAGGAGGGCTGGGGAGAAATCCGCTCAAAGTCTTCACCTTATGGGGGGCACCCGACGTCCAAGTGCCGAGGGGACAGGGTCACCCAGTGGCAGGTGGGAGGAGCCTGGACATGGCCCCATCGAGGCTCTGGTGGCTGCCTCCCTAAAAAAAACCCTGCAGCCACCAGCTAGCAGCTCGGGCGGCGGCAGGGCTTGTGAGAAAAGGGTAACGGGTGGGATTCCAGGAGGGAGGTGAGCTGGCCTGGGCTGTGTCTCTCCAGAGTACAACGTGCTACAAGTTTGGAGGAGGTGGGGAGAATTCCCTGGATGCTGGGCTGGGAGGAGGGGCTGGCCGTCCCCTCACTCTCAGATGGATGAGAGATTTATCGTCACAGAACAACTGCGGCCACCATTTGTCCATCTTCACAATGACATGTACTTCCTTCAGTAAGCGGGTAAGCCCGTGGCAGGCAGCAAGGAGGGGAGGGTCTAGGTGGGTGAACAGCTGGGGAGTGCACGAGGTCAGGGTGCCCTGCCCCAGAGGCCCCTGCTCAGCTGTCCAATTGCGCTGGTTCACCTGTAGCTGGTCAGAGTCTACCTGGTCCTTCCCAAACTTCCAGGGCCCCAGTGCCCCACCAAGGCCAAGGCCAGGATGTGGGCTGCCACTGAGCCAGGCTGGAGGGCAGGCGCACAGAGATGCCTCCGGCGCCTGGAGCCCAGCTGGGCACACGCAGGACGGCTCTGCCCCTGGGACAGGCAGGCAGAACTTGTCAGAGACGAGGACCGAGTAGGGAGGGGAGGTGGGGCTGCAGTGTGGGGGTGTTTGGGGTGGGGCAAGAGGTGGGTGGTGCCTTGGCAAGACCTGGCAGTGTGTCCCAATCTATGCCGTCCTATTTACGGCAGTGTGGTCTTGGGCACGTGGCTTAAATTCTCTGTTCTTCAATGTTTTTCCTCTGCAAAATGAGCTAAAAGTGGAACCTACCTGCTCAGGTGGTGGTGGGATTTCAGCGAACGGGGACGCGAGCAGCTAAAGGCCGGTGGCTGGCACTGTGACAGAGGGCCTGCCTCGACCTCTCAGCAGGACGTCCTCACTGGTCTTTAGAAGGCTCTTTCCCGCTATGAATGGGAAGACAGGGAGGCATGGGGATCTGCAGGGAGCCAGGGCATCTTCACAGAGGCCCGCGTGCCCAACAGAGACCAAGTCAGAAAGATCCAGGGCTCCAAGGAGGTGGTAGGAAATGCTGAGACCATAGGGGGAGACCCGGGATCCTCAGGACCCAAGGTGGAGGAGCCAGGCAGAGCCCTTGGACTGACACCCCCGACTACCAGCACAGGTGGGCCAGGGCCCTCCAGAGCTAGAGGCTCCGGGCTGAGGGCTGAGGCTTCTGGAACCAGTAGCTGCCACCCCGCTCCCAGACCTGGGCTGGCCCGCAGGGAGCATCTCCTGCCCCCAAACAGCCTGCTCCGTAGCCATGGTGACTCTCAGCTCTCTATCACGTGGCTGCTGTTTTTAAGAAGTTGAGAAGCCGCTCCTGCTGCCCGTGGTGTGCAAGAACTCTGATCCCTTAGATGGGAGATCTGAGTCGTGTGGTGCTCAGCCTGAAAGAAGGGTCTCATCTAATGCAGAGCAGGGTCTGCTGAGGAGAGGCTCTGGGGGCGGCGGCACCCAAGGACTCCTAGGCTCAGTCTGCCATGCACGCCTTCTCACTGCCACATACACGGACTTGCAAACACAGACGACACACAGGCCAGGTGTGGACACAGAGCCCTGGCACATCCACCACTCACACACACATACACACTCATGTCCACCCTCAGCCTTCATACATGCACACACATGCATGTAAACACACCCAACTTCTTTCACTCAAAGCCACGGGCTCCCACACCCAGGCTCCTCACCCTTCCCTCTTTCCTTCCCCTCCAGCCTCTTGAAACAGAGCCTGGAGGACCTGGCTGAGGTGCTGGGCCCCGAGGTAGTAAAATGAACTCTCACCTGCCTTTGTGGGGAGTCACTGGAGCTGAGGGTGAGGACAGGAGCACACACTACTTCTCTGACTAGAGGTCATGTCGGGACACTTGGAAGAACTAAAGCCAGGTCCAATCACCTGCTTCCTAAGTCAGAGAAGAGGGCTCAGGAAACTCGTCCATCATCTATCTGTCCATCCCAAGTCCACCATTCATCCACCAAAAATCCACCATCCACCTCCATTCATTGAATTCCATCACTTATCCACCCACAAGCCACCATCCATCCATCCCAAATCTACCATTTATCCATCTACCCATGCAAAATCCACCATCCACTCATCCAGCTAGCCATCCCAAGTCACCACTCAGCCACCCACCCCAAATCCGCCATGCATCATCCACCCAAACTTCCACCCACATGTCCATTCACCCATCCATCTGCCCACCCACTGCAAAACCCACTTGGCTGCAGTGAAGAGACAATCAACAAATATTCCTGAGACCCCCGCTCTGGGCTGGGCCGTGGCACTCAAATAACTACCAAGGTCAACGAGGCAAATCTCCTTACCCAGGCCCTCAAATGCCACTCTGCCTCTTGGTCTCCTGTTAAGATCCAGGAGCCCTGGAATGGCTGGGCCAGGCTGCGCTTGGGCAAGTGCAGCTCATCAGCGCATCTGTGAAATCCCATGAGGGACATAAGGAAATCAGATTCCTTTCACATAAACCTGATTCTCTGCCTCTTGGTCTCCTCTTAAGATCCAGGAGCCCTGGAATGGCTGGGCCGGGCTGCACTTGGGCAAGTGCAGCTCATCAGGGCATCTGTGAAATCTCATGAGGGTCATAAGGAAATTGAATTCCTTTCACATAAACCTGATTTACACAAAGTGGGGGCTCCATAGGAGCAGCAAAACCCTTTCCCCACCCAGTCGTAGGTGGACCGGTCGTAGGCATGTGACCCAGGCCTGGTTTTTCGTACTTCCTGGAGCTCTGGAGATTTGCGACAAGAACTCTTGGGAGGGCTCGCCTCTTTCATGTGGCCATGGGCTATAACCGAAAGGCCATCTGAAGACCTTGTCCGTGTGCCGAGAGCCAAGACAGAGGCGAAGAGAACAGGGAGGCGGAGAGAGAGAAACTGACCTCTGGCATAGGCAGGGGCAGGGCACACCCACATCCCCCATTCCAGGGGAGAGATAGTTTTATAATTTCCCGACATCCAGTCACGCTGTCAGACGCTCATGAACTCGGCTGCCAAACTGGGAGGCAAAGTCTCAGCTCTGCTCGGTGCCGCGGAAAAGATGGCAGCTGATATCCACTCGAGTGGACCTGCCCCATCACGGACGCCTCAGATTTCCTGGGTCTCAGGACCAGAGTCCTGGAGGACGCAGGCTTTTTCTCTCTCACCCATCCCTCATTTCTAGTCCCTTGGAGCTGGTGTCACCCTCAGTCACATCCAGCAAGGGCCCAAGAAGAAAAGACACCCCTTCCCATGGTCCCTCAGGTCCTGCATTGGCTACACTGGGTCGTGTGACTTGCCAGAACCAATCGCCTGCTGGGGGAGGGGTCACAATGACAATTATTTGCTCGGACCTTGGACAGTGGGATGGGCTTGGGGATGCTGCTGGCTGCCCCACCCAGGCTGTGTCCTTGGCCTGGACTGGACATGTAAGAGAACATAGGAAGTACATCCTCCTTCAGTCATGAACGCCTTTTCCTACAGGAGCAGCATTCAGAGTGACTCCAGGGAGCTGATCCCAAGTGGCCACAGGACAGGGCAGGCCTGGCTTTTCGTACTTCCTGGAGCTCTGGAGATTTGCAACAAGAACTCTTGGGAAGGCTCGCCTCTTTCATGTGGCCATGGGCTATAACTGAAAGGCCATCTTAAGACCTTGTCTGTGTGCCGAGAGCCAAGACAGAGGCGAAGAGAACAGGGAGGTGGGAGAAACGACCCCAGCAACACTGGATGCAGCCGTGCCTGATGCACAGACGTCTCAGTGTGGGAAGCCACTTTTTTTCAAACTGGTCTGAGCTACAAGTCTGTCATTTGTAATAAAGGGTCTGTGTGACACTTCAGGGCTATACTTACTGCGTCAATAGCATTTATTGAGGGCCTGCCGTTTGCCACGGTCCACACTGGGCAGGGGCAGACTGACACGCAAGACCCCCTTTGCCCCTGCAGTCGATTGCTCGCCTCTTTCAGAAGGAGACGTGAACAGCCTGGGCACCACTGCATGCCAAGAATTATTCTCGACGCTCAAAAAAAAATCAGATGTCATCACACTTCCTGTTACAACCCAGGAGCTGAACAGCACTGGCCCACGAGCCCATGGTCCAGCAGGTGGAGGAGCAGAGGGGAGCCGGCAAGGGGAGAGCCCCGCTCACAGCACGCAGCATGCCCATGCCACGGTGGCCGGCCACATAGCAGGTGCTGGGGAGGACCCGGAGCCAGCGATGGCCAGACTGCACGGCCTCGGTGCACAGTGCGCAAACACAGAGAAAAAGGCGGAGAGGAAAAACAGTGCCCTGGGAAGGAGCCCTCCCTGGAGGGCAGAGTTGCAGGTCATTCGCATTTCCTCTTTTATACGCTTTCGCATCTTCCAAGTGTTCTACGATAGCACAAGTTATCTGTATAAAAAATAAATATACAGTACGGGGCCCGCGGTATGAGACAATGCCTTGGGAACACCTGAGACCCTCTGGGGTCACATCTTCCTCCAGCGGAAGCCTTGAGTCCCACATAAGGAGCCTCAGTTCCTGCGGTTGGGCGAGCGCCCCGTCTCTTTTCCTGCCTCTGCCTCCAGCCTTCTCCACGGAAACCCACCTTGCATTACATGGGTAACCAAAGTTAGGGGCAGATGCCATCCTGGACTAACTCCAACCACAGCAGGACAAGACCAGGGGACGCATGCTCCCAGGCCACTCTGAATGGCTCCACAGGCAGGTCAGCTGGTGCCCACAGTGGGGCTCCCCACCCTCCCGTTTCACTCCCAGCCCTGGACCACCCAGCTCTGTCTCAGGTTGTGCACCAAGTGGACGCTGCCACCCCACCCGGTGCCAACCCAGTGTCTGCCAGCTCCGCCCACCCCTTTTCCTCCTCACCCACAGGTGTCCCTAAAACAGTTTGGCAGAAAAGGGGTCTCTCCATCCTCCCAGGTAACAAATAGCAGCTGTCACATGCCCAGAAATGTCATCAGGGACTGTCCTGTGCCTGCCTAGACCAGGCCGGAGGTGTGTGGTGGGGAGGGGCAGGTGAGCCAGGCCGCCCTCCACAGCAGCTCCCGGGTGCAGAGGGGTCGTTCCTTACTGCCCACCACAGGGAGGTGCCACTGGGTGACAGGCAGCCCCTGGACGCATGGGAGAATTGTGCCCAAAGGCAAGTGTCAGGAGGCCCAGAGAAGCCAGTGAGCAGGGTGAGAATCCCCTAGGGGTAACGGGAGGCGGAGGCCGGAGGTGGGAGGTGGGCGGTGGGTTGAGAGGGTCACCCCTGCCCCACCCTAGGAACCGCTGGCCTGGGACCTTCGGGTTGGGAGGCGAGGGGACAGCATGGAGCCTTGGGCTTAGCTTTCATGACGAGACCATGGAGATTTTCTGGTGAGCAACAGGCACTCCCAGACAGGCCCGGAGGCGTGGGAGCAGGAGGCAGGAGCAGGAGGCAGGAGTATGAGCGAGTTCAAAAGAATCCGCAGGATTATCCGGATCTGGGGGCTGGGCACGGGCTGGAATGGGGATTTGCCGTTTTCCAGGAACACTAAGACGGTAAGTGCTCTCGGCTCACGCGTTGGGCACGCCGGCTAATTGTGCGCTGGCGGTGCCCAAGGCCTGAGGCTGGCGCAGCCGGCTGCGTTGTCACCCATTGTCCCGGGGGCGAGCGGTGGGGAGAAACACGCATGTCCTCACCATCGGGAGCCAGCTGCTTCTGTCCGAGGGGGCGCCAGGGGCCCA